AATGGTCTTACGAGGTGTTATTCCATTAGGGGCCTGCTGATTCTACTACTGACTATACCCCTTCCATTCTACTGCTGATTATACCCCTTCCCCGCCCATGGCCCACGACTTCTCCAGTTATACAAATCTATTCCCAGTATTTCTTATACAAAGGAGAAGAGGCGTAGGTACATGGGGGGGGGGTACCAAATAAGTAGATAAATGAATGAATGTACATATAAATATATATATATATGAACCATTATTTAAGTGCACGTATTCCTTTCCTTCTTCCTGGCTGCAGGTGTTCTTCCTCCTCCTGCTCCTCCTCCCTGCTGCTGCTGCTGCTGCTGCTGCTGCTGCTGCTGCTGCTGGGGCAGCTGCCATTCTTTCCGCAACCACGAACGGCGTGAGCACAAAAAGAAGAAGTTAGCCACAACTGCGACTCATGATGCCGCTGTTGCGCGACAGACCATACAGCTTCATTGTGTCTCCCACTGCTGAGGGTCACAGCCACCAGGCACTGGCTCCAAATCTATGTGCGTGTTTCAACAGGCAGTCAGCAAATACTTCTGGGGAGTAGCAATCAAAGCAAGGAGCATGAGCCACGCCAAACATGCGACATGACAGCGGCAACATGCGGTCATCATTGCAACAAGCTCGCGTCCTCGTCCTGTGCAGTGGCTCCTGCTTCTGACGGTTTAGCGGGCTTGTTGACATAGCTCTTTGTATCCTCAGTTGGCTAAGTGGCTATTGCTGCAGGGTCAGCCGACCTTTAGCTTGCACAGAAGAGGGCTCTCTGAGCCAAGTCTCCAAACGAATCAGATTGGCGAGGTACAATGCCGAAGTCACAGGCAACACATACACTGGCAAGGCTGTCAAGGTCGCAAAGTACTCCTGCATGATTAGGCAGGTGCCTGCTGTAACTGAACCCCTGTTGAAGAAGAAAGGACAAACAACGTCTTATGTGCCGCGGTTTTGCATCCCATTGGCTCCCCGGCAGAGAGGTTCCTGGGCCCGTCCACGTTGACGAGGTAGGACATTACGCCCGGAAGGCAGTAGCACGGATTGAGGATGGAGTGCACCACGTGCCAGACCAGGGCAACTGTGCTCAAACTCTCCGGGACAAATGATGCTGACAACACCCAAATGGCCATGCCGGGCAATAGAATTGTTGCCATCAGCGCTACAGGCACGATCTTAGATACCGACTCTGCTGTAGAAAATGCAGCTGCCAAGTTGTAGATTGCAAGCGTTGTGGGGATGGGGTAAAGAAACATAGCCAGTATGGCTACTGGAGCACTCTGGACAGGAATGGACGCTGGCCGCATGGTAAAGAACAAAATCAGGAAGCAGAAGGACAGCGGAACCAAAAGGCAAACGTGTGCCAGAAAGCTGCCCAGCCAGTAAGCTCGTGGAGAGAGACCCTGTGATATGGAAACGTACTTGCACTTGTTCTTTGTATCAGTGACAACATCTGAGGCAGAGTTAATGAGCGCCACGCCGTAGGCCATGGCAGGATACACCCCAATAGCATAGCCGTTAGAGCCACCATCCTCTGACGTGGCACCCATGCCAGCGAGGGTCAGACCTGCGACCTGCAGCAAGATTGGAACAAGAATAACCATTGATGCTCTGAAGCGGTTGAGTCGCAGCGAGGATATGCGCAACAAGAACACAGCTTTGATATTCCGCCATTCGCAGGACTCGGCCCGGGGCTGCGCAACAGGGGTTTCAGCCTCAACTGCTTGGAAGTCCACGTTTACCGGCGTCTTTCCTGCTTCATCTGGTTGTGCCTCTTCCTCCGCTTGCCTGCCCAATGCCATGAAGACGTCCTCTAAAGAAGACATGCCCAAAATGTAGTCCAGCACCCCGAGCTGTTGCTGAGACTGCTCCAGCGCTTGCAGGAGGGCGGAGAATTTGTTAACCTCTTCGAAGCTCAAGGTGATGTTCACTTGCCGTGACTCCTGCAAAGGTGAGGTCTCACATGAGCTCTATTTCACGGGCTGTTGCAGGTTCTGCAAAACTTGCCTATAATTTGTTGGGCCCCGGTTGTTCTCCAGGCTTTCTGTAATTAATCACTTGGACACATCTCGTTTTGTTCGGGGATTCATGCCCGCTCACGCCGTACTTTTGTGCGTTGCTCACATGTGCACACACGCCCGACTTGCTAGAGATGTTGGACCTTGCAAACCAGGCCTCATCAGCGCCATTTTCCAAAGCTGCCGACGGCACTTGCTCCTGCCAGGATTTGCTCCTTCCCTGAAGTTCTCCTATACCACTGCTGCCAGCCCTGTTGATGCAACTAGGTCCTTTCGATGGCAGAAATGTTTACAGAAGATACCTTACAGCTTAGAGCTACTGTGCAGGTTGGACAGACTGACACAAGACGTGTCAGATCATCTCCAGCTGCTCCTGAGCAAAACGCTCAAGTTCACTGGCTGAAGCGCTTCCATCAGGGCTCAATGCCAGCGTAAGACGGTAGCCCACTCCGAACCTGCCAAACATGGGACCTTCTGGCATTTCCCGAACATTTTCGGGCACAGTGCCTTATTTGCTAAAGTCAGCTCCACACATGCTTGAGGCGCATGACCTGCATGCCTCATACGTAGCACGAGCCTCTGCTTCCCACTGCTGCCAGACAGGAGTGCAGTACAAAGTTGATACAGTATACACGCGCCCCATGACTGAATGCCAGAAACTGAGCGTGAGTGAGCCGCCCGGACAAAGAATACTCCCCCCTGAAATGGGAGTAATTATCCTGAGCTACAGGCTGCAAGACCAACCTGTGCTTCAGCTCACGTGAAGTCCCCACTGCTTGGACTTTGCCGCGTGCCAACACGGCCTCAGCTACAGACCATCCACATTGAAATGAGAGAGCTCCAAAATTGTCAGCAGCGCACCTTGCGGTTAGCAAGAATGTCTGCCTCTTCCAGGTAGTGTGTTGTGAATATGATACACCGGCCTGCAGAAGCAAGGGGCTGCACAAACCATAAGCTGGGGTTTAAGGAGTACTGCACTTGTTATTGCTGATGGTACGAGCCACAACAAAACCAGATTGTGTGTCATGTGCTTCAAAATCTGAAGATACAAGGTCAAGTACATGCAGTTGCACGCATGCTCTGGATACCTGAGATGTAACCAGCAACAGTACATTTTTCATACTTCAAGCGAAAAGCACTAAAGAATAAGACGCCCCCAACATTTTGAGGTAACGCAAGTATTTCTCGGGAATTCGCAACTCTGCGAGAAAAGCCCCGAAGTATGCCGCTTGGCAACGTGCAAAACATAGTGCCGGCATCAAAGCCACTTACCAAATTCATAACATCTTCTGTCATCTTCTAGTAGTCCAAATACATGCGCTGATAGGCGATCTTAATAGAGCCATCAAGGTTTTCCTGCACCCTGTGACCTGCCCCCTTCACCCACATGCCTGTGTCTCGCATGCGCAGAAGAAGATCCCACAGTTCTCGCCGCGAGGAGGGGTCCTGACGGGTCCAGCTTGCAGCTGCTCGGTGAAGTACTTCAATCTGTCTGTAGCAATGTCAGAAGTGCTTGGCACAAAGCCAAAATTCGTCCAAGAGTCCATGCCGCTGGTAGGCTCATCCAAAAACGACACTGGGGAAGCTCCGATCCTCAATCTTCAATGTAATTCCCAAAGCAACAACACCGCCTTGCAGTTTGTGCTGCGCAGCCCCGCATCATGGACATGATCTGCCCAAACTGACATGGCGTCTGCTGTTTGTTCATTGCGGAAATTGTTGACGCTGCACTCAGATCCCTTTAAGTTTTTCGGAGCCCGCTGTCAAAGCCAAAGTGTGCTTTCAATTTGGGCCCAGCAGCAGTGCTGTGGCAACCCATAGCCGCCGTTTCTGCCCTCCAGAGAGTTTGTCGCATTGGCTGTCCTTCTTCTCCTGTCAGCACTTCTATTCTTCAAAATGCAGCCAACTAAATGACCGTGGCTTGCTGGTGTCACGCCCGGGGTCTTCCTGGATTTTGACCCCTTGCTCTCTCACTCTTCATAAAAGATGACTTAAAGCAAAAGCATGCAAACCTTTAAGTCTCAGCAATTACTAGGTGATCAAGTCAAGTCTCTTCCAGGCCCAAAGCCTTCAAGATCGTGCCTGCATCGCGTGTAGCACGTACAGACCAATGACATGGACGCACAAATCGCGAATGCTTGACACCCGTTTGCCAAGAAACCAAGGATAGATGGGTAGGTATGGACTGCTAATTACTCAACAACAGTCACATCCACGCATGCAAAACAACCGCCGGGCAAGAAACATGCTCTGTCTGGCTCTTGAAGTCTGCCAAGGATCTTATGTGATCGTCCACGTTGGATTCGTGAACACCTCGAAGCATACCTTAGCCGCCTACCAGCAAGGGTAGGCAGGGCTTTTGACTCTGTTCTCTACTTCACGACCTGTACCACACATCAGGAATCGGATCTGAGCAGTAAGCGAGACACAGCCAGCTGCATGCTAGCTGCTGAAGAACTTCAAGTGCCGCCGTACGCTAAACTCGGGGTAGCAGGGGTTGTCTTGTGGGCACACCGAAATCTGGTGACGAGCGCGTTGAAGATCAGTACCTTGGCAGGACATTTGACTCCGGAGCATGGGCACTAGAGTCACTAAAGCCTATGCAAGCTCACAAGCAACTGGTCAGGCTAATTTTGGGTTGGGAGGCGTACGTCGTGGCCGTTGATGACCGTTTCCCCTGATGTGGGAGGGATAAGCCCCACGGCACAGTTGAGCGCAGTGGTCTTGCCAGCACCATTATGACCAAGGAGGGCAAAGATCTCTCCAGCATAGGCGTCCAGGCACAGGTCATCCACCGCCACTTTACCATCCCCGAAGACTTTACGCAAATTCTGTATGGAGAGCACCTTTTGCCTGGACCCTTCGGCATCCCGATCACCCACGAGAGGCTCGCTAGGCTGAGGGCGCTTTGGGCAAGCATACTTGGGCATGAAGCAAAAGCACAGAGGCTTAGCCATGCCATATTGGCCCTGCCTCACATGACTTAGCCACCACACCAGAACCAGAACTCCAGTGGTGGAAATCACCATTAGCAACATGGCCCATCCCAGTGGGAAGATTGTGGCTTTCGCCAGATCTAGGCAAGGAAAATGAACTGGATGGTAGTCCAGCATACAGATGTCTGTGACCAAGAGATTGTCGAACGTGACCTGCGTGCTTCAATTTGATAGCGGCTTTCTCTCAAGAAGTCTTTAGTCGCAAGACTGTCCCAAGTCCGAAGCTACTTCTGAACTTGCGGCGGAGCTAGCTGCAAGGTTTAAAGCCTTGCTGCAACCAAAGCGCGCCCACGAACTGACAGCTGCCGGAAGCCTCAGCTCCTCCCTTGCCCGAAACGCAACAGAAAAAACACGTGATCGTAGCGATGCACAGGTATGCAGAAAGAGCTGCTAGCGTCTTGAAAATGTTGCTGGTTGCGGGCAGGATACATCACACGTCCGTGCTGCGCTTAGCCATATCATGGAAGTCAGAGACTGGAAGACCTTACGCTTGCAGTCAACCCAGGTTACCTCTGGCACACAAGAGCTGCCCAACATATCTACATCTAGGCCATCTCTGCTGCCAAACTTCACCACAGCTTTCTGGGGCTTTCAAGGCAAAAGGGCTCAACAGTACCTTTACCCAACCTCTGGCTCCAGCGGAGGCACATTGCAAAAGGGGATGAAGCCAGTCAACCAGCCAAGCCAGGGCTGCTGTCGAAGCAGGAACCTCATTTGGTGGTCCCCTATAATCTCTTATATAACCCCCTCTAAGGACAGTTTAGATTATGGCTCATATTCTCTTACTACACTCCTCATTGGCAAGGACCCAATCCGGGTACAACAACTGCGAAGGCCTCTCCTCAAAGAATTCAAGTACAACTGGTGCTTTGCGGCATCGGCCAAAGCATGGTATGGGCCCGGGGACATACACACATTGACATGCCTTCTGGCCTTTACTCGCGGAGGGTCTGAAAGCTGCTTACCGTACTCATCGAAAGTGCAGGTCAGCTGCTGCAGTGCGGAGCTTCCGCAGACAATAATCATGGTCGTCATGCTCATGATAAAGTCCTCAGCTCCATCACAAGGACACTGGCGAATGGCCCAGGAAAGTGGATGCTTCTGCTTCTGCACTTGCAGAAGAGCGTCCGCAATTCTTGGCTTGTCAATAAAGATGCTGAGACAAAAGACCTTAGCCACGAGATCGGCATTTGCCAAGGGCTCCCCAGCAGAGCGCTTACAACCCATCACTGGATCACTGTCCAAGGCTCCTCGTGCAAGGCATTTAAACTTGTACCCTAGGCCTAGTGGTCTGCAAGGCCAATTTGCCAATATGTTGGGGCTGCCCAGTGACACCACACGGACTGGTCAGAAAGCAATGAGGAAACACTAGTTGGTCTCACCATGACAGCAAGCGAAATCCTAATGCCGCCTACAGAAAGGAGCACAGACCTGACCCCTTGAGCAGCCGATCAACTTTAGTGCGCAGAAGCAGTGGCACCAAGCACGTAAAACAGGGACGTTCGTGTGAACAAGTTCCATCGGGAACCGCAGAAAGCCCTTAAATAATCCCGGAACATCAGCCACTCAACAGCGGTACCATTCACAGCAGCGCTGCCATGGCCATTGTTTGTAGAAAGCCGGTAGAAAGAATGATGAGAGAGATCCTGCGTTCTCAAATCCAGATTGTCCATCTGAAGATTAATCCTAAAACCACTCACGCTATGAGGGGAACCGCCCAACCAAAATCACAACTTTTATACTGGGGATCCCAGGATCAGGAAGTTGACAGTTTCAAGGACCGGGATGATGGCCAGCCAACAAATATAGATAAGAACCAGGCAGAAGAGAGCGATGGCAAAGTAGAAGACGTACCAGGACAGCCAGTACATGTTCTCTGATACACCATAGATGTTCTGCAGGATTTTCATCTTCTGATCTTTCTCTCCAACAATATCATAGACTGCCGAGTTCATTGAGAACGATATTCCCAGCAATGTGTTCAGTGGGAGGAATGCCGCCATCAAAAATCGGCCCAAACTTGCACCGTTCTCGCGCTCAGCGTCTTCCACGATGTTCATGAAGATATAGTACATCATGACCTGGGAGTTTCTCACACAGGGGTAATGGAAACGAAAATTGGAACTACTATACTATATTTGGGTTATAATGGGATAATGGAAATAAAAGGGAAACTACTATAGTATACTGGGATGACGGAAAATGGAACTACTATTTAGGATTTAAGGTGGCGTGCGCATCGGCTTAGGGTTTAGGGATTGAGGATTATCAGGGGATCGTGGGAGTCCCTGTTCAGGATTGTATAGGAAATACTTTAGGAAACTTCCGCTTGATATCCTTTCAGCACGAGACGATGGCAACATTGACTTACCCAGGTCTAGCAAGTAGTTCCCCTAAACCCTAAACCCTTTTTTCCTGAGGTGGCTCAACTCTGACCTCTCTGCCTCTGGGATGGCAAGTAGTTCCCTAAACCCTAAATAGTCGTTCCATTTTATTTTCCATTATCCCAATATAACCCGAATTAGGGTTTAGGGTTTAGAATACACTATAGTAGTTTCCAGATTATTGTCCGTTGTCCCTGTAGTGCGGGCTAACATGTTCCTCACCTAGTTAGTGACCACAGCTGTGAACCCATGGGCGCCAGGTAACCCCCAGTTAGAATTTTTATGTTCCAGGTTTTTCGGTTTAACTTTCCCATTTTGGGGGCAATATCACTAAACCCTAAACCCGAAATAGTAGCTTCAATTGTCTTTCCCATTATCCCTATAGGCCGCCCGTATCCATTGTTGGGGTACTACCCCAAACCACAGAATCGTATACAGTATCTAGAACTGGGCTTCTAACCCTACTTGTAGTTGGGATCACCTACATAAGTTCTGCTGGATTTTATGTGGGGTTGTAAGTGCAGCTATATGTAGTCACCAAATTTCAGGAACCTTCAAGTAGGCCCCTATATAACCCTTATATATAATCCCTATATAGCCTATAAAATCCATATAAAGCCTATATAACCCCTTTCTAATAACCGATATTATCTCTATATATAGTCCCTATATAACCTACAACCCCAAGTAGTAATTTCTGTGCCGGGAATCTGTGAAGCCAAGCTGGAGGGCCCTCGGCATAATGATGATCGTCATGTGCAGGCAGGCAGTGCAAGCAAAGGTTTTGGGTTAATCCGGGATATAAGGGATACATGTGTGTATATATATATATATTCATATGTATATCTCTCTATCACTGCCGTGTTCTGGGGACATTTAGGGAAGCAGTGGTGTGCAATTAGGTGAGCAGTGGAGGCATCTTCTCAGCATTCTACAGGGTCATACAGGGATAATGGAAAGGACAATGGACAGCACATGAAGCCAGTATCTAAGGTTTTGGGGTATTACAGCCAAAATAGGGAATCACATGGAGATCAATGAAATGGAAGCTGCCATATATAGGGTCAGTGAAACATGCTAGGAGGAGCTGTGGCTAACAAGGCAGAAGCCGATCAAACTACTCAAACTTAAGCCCTTTTTTCTGCAACAGGCTTAAGCCCTAAACCCTAAATCCTAATCTGTGCCACCAGGGCCTGGCCATGCAAATCTTCTCACGTCCCAGGCGCATGTTGAAAGGCCCAGCAATGAAGCGTCCGCGCTTTAAAGCTAAGAACAGGTTCTTCTTGCAAGTCACCTGTTTCCCGGCAAGAGGAAGCAGCAAATGGTGTTTGATCATGATGATACATTTCGTGCTTTTGATTTCCGCTCACAGTCCAACCTTGGCTTAGGACCAAAGACCCACATGAGAAAAATCAAGCGCTTGAGGCGGTGGCGCAGTAGGGAACAAGTGGCTGTTGGACTAGGCTCAAGCAAAAGGCTGAACCTCAATTACACAAGCACTCTCTCAAACTGATTGGCAGGAACCTTCATGACCGCGCTGGTGGAAGGCAGTGGTGGCGACACAGCTGCTGGAAGCTCCGCTGTTTGCGCCGCCGCTGCTTCCACATCTGTGGACCCATTCGGCGTGACTTTGGTTCCCATCGCAAGGCAGCCAAACAAGTTGTCAGCTGAGGTGCAGCAGCCGAGCAACATGCATGGATCGACCTGTTGTGACTCGATCTGGAGCGGCCACAAGCTGCTGGATGCAGCAAAATCTGACAGCAACATGCAAGCCGTGAACTAGGGGCGGTGAGCTGGTAAGCTTAAACACCTGACTTCATTTGAACTGGTCTGGAGTCTCGCATGTGGATGAGTCCTTCCAAAGAGGTGTTTATGAGCTACATGGTGTCTTCAACAGCGCATTGACAGAGGGGCCCCGACTTGTACCCATCTTGGCAGCATTTGCCAGCATTTCCCCCGGCACGTGGCCTGGCTTTGCTTTGGAAATTATCAGAATATCCCGCAGACAGTGTATGATTGTGAAAATTTCTCGTCTCGAACTAGCCTGGGAATCATGGAGATGTCTCATGTAAAGGTTACAGACATGACCATGACACTTCGCTTTCGAAAGCTCCTAGGAGACACAGCCTTGGAATTCTGTTGGAGAGAAATGCAGCTGGTCGTCCACATCAATGGTGCCCTCCTGTGCCAGCTTTGTGAAATGCGAACTAAGAAGTGCTTGCGGCAAAAGTGGAGGCGTGTAGGAGCCTTCGTGTCTCTTCCAGGCTGGGAACCCTCGCACATTTCAAGCCCAACCCCTTTAGGTCTGAAGAGCATCAATAAGCAAAGCAGGCTTGATATTCCTCGGTACCCTCCGCCGTGACCGCTGTCGTCTGCTCCTTGGTTGTCATTTCGTGCAGCCACTTGCTCCCGAGAAAAGATGCCTGAATACTCTTGGGTGCGCATCATTTGCGCGCGAATCATCAGGTCTCTTCTTGCCTCTGACATCACCTGTTTCTTGCTGCTCAGGTGTCTGAGACTTGGCGGTTCCAACTGCTCGGCTTGGCAGGTTCCGAGGCCTCAGCCAGGGATGGAAGCTTCACATGATGTGTCTGTGTGTAGTTCGAGCCTTAAATGTGGACTTGCAACTTCCTCAATGTTTCCCGGCCTGGCGTCCAAAGCTGCCCCTGGGGTCGACGTCCAATTCCCCGAGCATGTCCTCATCCTCAAGAAAGCCCAGGAGGCTGGCAAATGTTTCAGGTCTCTTTGGCATTTGTTTCTCCGGTCCTTCTGAAATGCTGCGAAACTGTTGCAACTATAGTCTTAGCCTTAGGCTTTAGGCTGAAGATTCTGGTACTGGACTGCACAACCAAACCAATGAGGCCTGGGAATTTGGTTCACTACAGCCACGCAGTCGCCGCGAATCATCGTGTTAGCTGGTCACAATGGCCAGATAGGAAGCTCAGGGGGCCTAATGTCCATACTTCCAGGAACATGGAAGAAACGTGCTTGCGAAATGCTCTGCATTCAGGTGGCGGGGCGCTCGTTGTTCTTTTTTTAGCATTTCATGGCGTTGTGCAGCATACTGTGTGCCAACAACCGTGCCTCAAATTCGATAAAGGTGTTGCGGATGTTGATGCCCTTGATGCCTGCGAGGTGAAGGACCACTGCAAGTGACAATCCAGCAGTCTACACAGAATCCAGTATACTGTGCATTCCGGCTGATGCCTAGAAGTGAGTTGTACTTCATGAGGTCAGAATTCTTCGGCATCGTCCTCAGCAAAACAAAGCACAGCTGGTTGCTTCAAAAGGCCACAGGTTCAAACATCATCCTGGCAGAGTGACCTGCGATATCGAGCTTCACGACCTGCACATCAGGCCGTCAGGGTAAGCAAATTTAAGCAGCAGCTTCTGCCAGCCCATGCCCCCTCTATAACCCCATGATAGTAGTTTCCATTTTCTTTTCCATTATCCCTACATAGCCCCAACACATACCCCATAATCCACCATTGCAATAACAGGACTCAAGAAAAATCGACAAAACCCAGCTTGCTCCATCGGCCGCAGCCTGCGCAAGCAGCAAATGATGCTTTGGAGGTTGAAACGAAGGAGGCCTCAGCACGCGGACTTGGGCACACCGAGACACCGCCCTTGGGCCTGAGCAAGCCATGCCTTTTGAGGCTTCGGCTGCGCGCTGTGCGACCACCCCACTACACTCAGTAGACTGGAACTGTGAGGGTTTTGGAAACCCTTTGAGCCACAATCAGCCAGGACAGTCAGCCAGTGAGCTGACAAAATGCATGCAATCTACGAGCTCAAGAGCATGTCCTGGCAACTGGCAACCTAAGACCCCCTGGCCAGAATTCTGTATTCTCCTGCAAATGCCATGCACGCCCAAGGGTCCCTTCCCTCCACCATCCATGTTCCGCTGTGGTACCTGCTTGCGGGAGGTCATTCGAGTCGGGCGCTCCAGGTCCTCTGCATTTTTGCATTCAGCTAAAGAATTGCAACCCAGACAAAAGATCCGTGTCCTTGCATTTGAAGACATGAAGACAGGGCACGCAACGATTCTCACGCAAGAGTACATGAACGCCTAGTTGTGTATGGAATTCAACAAGTTCAGCCCGCAATAGTTTTAAACCAAGCTACAAATACAGAAATGGGCCATTCCTTCCCCGCGTCTCCCAAGCTGAAAGTCGTCGGAGGCCGCAACTGCACGGAACAGGCTTCATTGGGGCACTAGCTTGTTCGTCACAAGGATCCCTCTCTAGTTTAGGTTGTCATGCACGCCCTGCATGATGCAGCCTGTCCCATCCATGCCATCCACTGCCAGGATGTAGCAATTCAATCATTCAATCTGCACCGAATTGATGACACGGCTTGGGCTGGAAAGCGCCTGTCGCGCAGTAGGTCTGGCAGATTGAAGAGCAACCTGGCGTACTCTCAAGGTACTTCTGGGCTGAGCCACCAAAAGTGGCTCCTGGCCTCGTTGATGGGCGGAGTGGCACGGGTCCTGCGGAATGTTGCTGCGTCCAAGCGTGCTGGCTCCTGCGCAGCGACGATTTGAGTTGCACGGTGCAAGCCAGCATGGTGGAATTTCAAGTGGTCCGCAAGGGGCCCATCAAACCAGGATCCCAAACCGGGTCCTTGGGAATGCGTGGTTTGGGGCGCAGCAGGACAGACCTTCTCCGGCGATCCATAATGGATTTGCGGCGTTCCTGGCAGTGCCCGGATGCACGTGGGCTTCTGCACGCTTTGCATCCCCAGACAGCGGCAAGATCTCCAGCACAAAAAACACTCATGAGATTCATGAGATGGCGGCATAGCTTAAACTTTCTGACAACGCCTGTCGCTTTTGAGGTGACAGGCGTGCTCGCAGCTCTGAAGTGTGAGGCCTGGCCCAAAGCGAGTTGACGAATTGCGTTGGTTACCAGATTTGTAAAATCAAGGCCTACCTTCAAACATGAGACGAAACAGTCGGACAAAAAAACAGAAGGGAGGGCCCTGGGTCTAGGCTCGAAAGCCGGCTCAGCACATCCTAATCGGCGTCATCAGCACATGTGCGCAAAAAGTCAAAGAAGCGAAGCACAAACATGTGCTTCAGGAGCTATGTGCTGTCAATGCGCGAGGAACAGGCTAGTGGAACGGGAAGCTGATCACTGCTGATCTTGCAGTTGCAGGCTCTGCAGCCACATCCTTCCATTTGAGATGCTTTCAGACTTCAGATGGCCTTGAAGACTTGATCAAGGAAGTGCGGAATCGGAACTGAGTGAGACGCCTGCAAGCGAATTGGGCCAAATGCAATCTCGGATGCAGAAGAGTTGACCTATGACCAATATGCCATCATGACTGCGCAACCAGGCCAGAAGCTGCTTTCGCGACCAGAGCACCAAAAGCCAAATTACTATGAGAGGAGCAAATTTCGAAGAGGCCATTCAGAGCTACTGCTGAGGTGATCAAAAGACTCGGCGGGTCAGGAAACACGGTGTGTCCTACAACCCTTTAAAGGCGCTAATCTGCAGCGGGCTGCCAGTCGAAACCCCAAAGTAGAAAGGGACAGATTTAACTTGACACCTTTAGTTAGCCTACGACGCACCCCAAAGTGGGCGTCCTGCGGTATGATGCGCAAACCTGTGGCCTTGACATTTAGACAATCAGCTAAAAGCCTAGAGCAGCAGGTAGAAGTACTTTTTGGGCCTTGGGCTTTGGGGAGCTCGGCACCCCGGATCCGATCGGCGCAATGCCAGGCGCGTTACACGCTGGCGCATACGCTCCTTGGCAAACGAATAAAAACATCATCAGTATCATCGTCACAATCATTGCTGCAGCGGTAGCAGTCATGGTGGTGGTGGTGGTGGTGGTGGTGGTGGCGGCGGCGGCGGCGGCGGCGGTTGGGGTGGTCTGGGCGGCGGTGGGGCGGGTTGGGGTGGGCGGGGTTGGGGTGGGATGCTGCGGCGGTGGCGGTGGCGGGTATTGGCGGTGGCAGTATCAGTAGTAATGCTGGAAGTGGTGGTGGCCTAGGGCAGAGAGGTTGGCCTGACTGCATGCGTCTCTGCCTCGCTCTCAGGCCTTTGCTCTTCATTGGACTGAGAGCTAGTCAGATTGCATTGGACCGCCTGTGTGCAGCTCGGTGTGAATGTGTATCTTCCCGGACTGTGCTGAGTTATGGAATACTTACTGCAGCAGTGCTCAGGCCCGAGCCCTGCTCCGGACTGAGGACTAGCTTATGTGGCTATGGACATAATCCATATGTTGCAGCGTTGCTTCCCGGATTCTGCTTTCGTGGTCAGCGGGAAGCTATGCTCCCTAAGGGGCGGGTATGTCTTGCCTAGACATGGACACGCCGCCAACGTTCATATACTTTCATGCCGCTTCACTTGTGGCCGAGCGAGCTAGGTTGCGGCGGCGGCGGCAGTGCTGGTGCGCGTGACTTTGTACCAGGTGACTGGCATCCTGTGGGTTCTCGGCACTGCGCAATTTCCCGGCTGCACGCCAGCTGGAAGCAGCGTAGTTAGCGATCGGCCAGACATATTCAAGGCTTGGCATGATTGAGGCCCCAGCATCAAAGTCTGCACGTCGAGCTCGCAAGCGAGCCTGCTAATGGGCAAGGCATCTGACGCGACGCATTCTCCACTTGTATAGTATAGCTCCCAGGCCAATGTCAGGGATGTCACCAGCATCTTGTGCGTGCCCGGCTCATGGACTCAAGCGGGACTAGCATGCTACATATACAACCCAATGTAGCTTGCACAAAAAAACAAAAACCAGCGTAGATCTAAAAATGTGCTCTGAGCAAACAACCTTGAAGTGCAGAAGAGAGTTCTTCTACTCATATGAGAAGTCTACTGAGGACCTGCGGCTGTGCCAACGAACGCAGTCCGCGACGATACCTCAGAATACCAAGTGCCACAAGCTTTGTGCAAGCACTCAGGGCTTATGCATCCAGACTATAACTTCAACCGTAAGTCGCCGATACAAGCTTATGATTTTTGATGTTGAAGTCAAACGCTACAATCAACATCAGTCCATAGCTATGCTCACGAGAGTCGCGTATCTAAACAGAGCAAATCCCTCAACAGTTTGCAAGGCGCGGAAGGCACCAAGCAATGCTGACTTCCAGGCTTCACATACGATGTTGCGGAGTCATGAGTAGGTGCAAAGATTCCAGAACCGTGGCCCAAGGCCAACTAGGCTGAGCCCATGACACCTCTGCAGCAGCATCAAAGTCGCGGCGCCTCAAGCGGCAGGTCGTACAACAATGACATGGATGATTAACAAAGACGATGGCTTTTGCCAATCCGTACTCTGCTACTCAAACGCTGCAGCAACTCGGGTGCAGGCGTTTCCAGGCAATGCGCCCAAGCTTCGTAGAGAAGAGCATGGTGCGTCCCGATGTCGCGGTCCTGACCATGAAGAACCTTCTGACCATTTCGACCTTTCAAAAACTCAACACCTTTGCTGACCCTCCAGAAAGACTGCGTTGACACGAACGGCAGCAACATCTGCCTCGAGCTGCCTGAAGATGTCAGTCGGGCGGGACTCCTTGTCAGCCAACATGACCTGCAGATTTGGCCACTTTGTTCTGTTCTACCTGAAGCAGCAACACAGCTGTGGGCAAGAGTTGCAGGGCCGCTAGCATCACACTCATAAGGCATGAACTTCAACGCCAGTGTGCTTGGCCATCTTTGTTAGCAATGATCCACCACCGCTTCTATTCTCAGACCTGCCTATGGGTGCAATATGGTGCAATGGAATCTCAGGAACGCGCCCATAAGCGAAGAAGACGTATATCCTTTGGCAGCGCTCTTTCCGTGCAGCAACATGCTGAAGTGTCTATGGAGAAGCCCGCAGCTTTGAGGCAACAGTTGTCGGTGCGCTGCTGAAACTTGGAACCGCTAAATGGACAAAAGGCGCGTGCCTGGCTGTACAGCTTCTCAGTCGATAAACCTTGGCGATTTCAAATACTGTTGCAGCTGGGACATGATTTTCTCGGCCATTATACTGCTATATGCGCCATGCCTGTTTTCCATAATAAAAACCCTCATTACGTGCGACACTAACGTGATTGGTGACTGTACCTCCGCCCAACCTCTGGCAAGGGTCGGTGGCACAGCCAGGAACGATGCAAGCTTCCTTAATTTGGCTTTACAAAGCCGAATCTAGTCCAGCTCGCCCTCTGAGTTGTGTGTGAGCAGGACCTATGACTGTCAAGCATAGGCCTGGGCAGACTCCAGTTCAAAACCCATTATTACTGTTTGCTTTAATGCTAGTACTATACTACTATTATGATTATATCTGTTACTAAAATTGCTCTGGTACCCAAGCCTGCCCGAGGCCATTGCCATCACATGAAAATCCCCTGTCAGCACATCTTCTCAGCTGCCAACTGTGGGACAGCAATAAAGAATAACGATTGCAGCTTGCCCGCATGCTCCCAATGCCTCTCACCGCATGTTTGCACTCACCAACAAAAATTTGCCAACGCATGAGTGCTGGTAGTTTTGCCTCACGTGGGAGTGCCCTGCGACCATGCTACATAGAATTGCAGGTGAGACGTTGTGAGACATCATGTAAATAATTGTAGATTAGTCCGCAGCTTTACACATCGGTGTGTATGCTGCGAGCTGTGCGTAGTTAAGTCTTGGGCTGATCCACGCCTTTACACACTTTACACATGATTCCGGCGAGCAACGGCCTGTTAAAGCCGAATTGATGTACGGGGCATGATATGCTCCACTGGACTATCATCAGCCAGGGGAGGCCTTCCTATGACGGTGGCGCCTGGCGTTGTCACAGGTCTCTGCGGCAAAGATGAAGACTCGTCATCTGGAACCTGGGTCTCCTCATCCATAGCTTTGGGTGAGTCCATCATCGCCTTCAAGCTGAGCTTCTGGTCTACAAAGTCCACGTCTTCGGCTGCCATGGAAACTATGTTGGCCACACCTTCGTCGGAAGCCTGAAGTGGCCCTGCCAAAGCACCTCTAATCACAGGTGAACCAGAGGCACTTGCTGGAGGTGCCCAGTTCTCGGCCTCCTCAGTCCTTCGTTGCTTCCAGCTCGCCTCCTCCCCGTGAAGCTCCTTCATGACCTGCACTCTTGCTTGAGCATTGTGCCGGCTCCGCCATGCTCGTGAGAAGCACAGCAGAATGAAGGAGACAAGCACCAAGAGAAGACCAGCTAAGCCATAGTTGTTTATCATGGGCGACCCATCGCCTTCGCTCCAGGGCCACCACTTCAAGTCCTCGAGACTGTCTGTGACTCTGAAGACCCCAAAGCAAACGCTAGCTCGCCAGAAAAAGACCTGCGAGACGAAGACCATCAACAGCGCACCACCGAAGTGGCAGAACCGCGCCCAGTACGGAAGATCGGTCGCCTTCAACTGGCACTTTTCCTTGATGCGGTCCTCACAATAATCCAACCAGTCCAAGTTCACAAACTCCACCTTGGGGGCATTGATCTGGTCGTTGAGCTTGTCAAATGCGTCTTGGATAGCCCAGCCCATTCCCGCCCAAAAGGTCACGGAGACTGTAGCTGTCAATGAAAACATCAGATTACCCGCCCTGGCCCAGACTTCGCTCTCATCTCGCTTCAAGTAGAAGCTGCCCGTCAGTGCCAGGGGGATTGTGGAGAAGATCACCTGCAAACACCCAAGCAACACTGGCAGGACACTAACCCCCTATTGCCTGCTAGCAGAAGCTGACTTCTGAGGAACAATCATTAACTTCCGACCAGGCACCGGCAAGGTACCAATGGTGCATTGCAGTAAGGATAAGCGCATGATTCCGGCCAGCCTTTGCTGTGATATGCATGCAGCAAAACCTGTGTCACAAGCTTCCCATCCGAAGCGCTGATGCAGTAAAAGCTGCCAGGCACAGGATTAGGTGGCAAAGGAACACACATTTGCCGGCAAGGCGCACTGATGTCGGCCAGTCCGGGCCTCCGCCTCAGATTGCATAATTATAGTAGTAGTTTCCATTTTCTTTTCCATTATCCCAATATTACCCCTATTATACCCTAATAAACCCCATTATGGTAGTTTCCATTTTCTTTTCCATTATCCCTATATAACCCCTATTCTAGCCTAATAAACCCCATTATGGTAGTTTCCATTTTCTTTTCCATTATCCCTATATAACCCCAATATTATACCCTAATAAACCCCATTATGGTAGTTTCCATTTTCGTTTCCATTATCCCTATATAACCCCTATTATA